TTGGACAGAAAAATACGGTTCCCCTTCGTACAAAAGGCAGACTCGATGCAGCTCTTCAGCAGGCGGAGGATGCAGAGAAGGAAAGGTGGGGAAACGAAAAACCTCCCAGACAACCATTACCGGAGGGATTCTACGAGTCCGTGTTTAACGCAACGTGGAGTCACGTCATGGGATTTCCTGAGGGCGAAGGGGAAGACATGGTGGTGATAGAGGGCCAACGGCCACAAGAGTTATGGGAGTACACGCAGACTGTGTGTACTTTTCTCCCAGTGGGTGGTGAAGAGCAATTCCATCCACCACGCCCACGACTCATGATCCTTTCCTCTGAACAGCGATGGCCGTACTCGCTGGAGCATGCAGTGCCTATTACCGACTGCTACATTAACATTGAGGTGCATCGGGTGTGGAAGATCGTCGAGGGTGATCTAAAAGGAGTGTTTCCCCCTCCAGAGAGAGGCCCACCATACATGAGACGCCGTCTTTTGGTTGGAACCCCCGGGATAGGGAAGTCAATGGCGGCTGGCTCCTACCTCCTTTACCAGCTGCTGCACTACGACGCCACGACGCTCCATGTGGTTGTGTACTGCTTTGGAAGGGATTTCGCATACTTGTTTGACAGGAGGGCACGAACGGTGACAGAATACGAGGGTGAGCGTAATATTAGAAGGGCTATGATAAATTTGGCTAGGACTGGAATGAAAGGGTATATCATCATCGATATGGCAAGACAACTTCAAGAACCATCGAATGATTTTGTGCCCTCCCCTGAGTGGGGCATCATTATGTTGTCGTCCCCGAACGAAGATAACTTCAAAGCATGGGCGAAGCAGGTGGGTGCTATCGAAATCATCATGAATTGCCCCGATGAAAACGACGTGAAGGCGATGTGTGCGTGGGGGACACGCAATACGACTGAAGAGGAGCAGGCGGAGTATTGGAGAAGCATGTACATGCGCATGCATGACGTCGGACCGATTCCACGATGCATCTTTAATGACAATAAATATAGAAAGCGCGTGCGTGATGCCAATAACGTCCTGGAAGGTATCGACGCCTCAAATGCTAAACATTATAAGAGGGTTGGAGGTAAGGAAATGTGCCCCTCGAATGACGCTTCTCACAAACTTGTGAAAGTTGTCAGGTTAATAACACAAGGCGACGTTGAGGAGTTTGTTAACATGCCGGCCTGTTTTTCCATTGGAAGCGAATTAATTGCAAAGTTGCTCGAGGTGGATGAGAAGAATGACATTTTTTTTCGACTAAGCAAGAACTATAAAGTGTTATTTCCGGAACTTTTGGAGCAGCATACTCTGCACGCATTCCTGAGTAGAGTCTTTGTGGAAAATATGATGCTGTGCCTCAAGGAGTTGCCTCCACCAGGACCTCGTCAGCGACAAAGATGTGTGCTGCAATCGAACCCCGAAAAACATCCAAGCAGACCCGTTGCATTAATAGCGCTGGGCCACACTCCTCCGAGGTTGGATGCACAATACGAGGTGCTATACCTACCGAATAGTAGAAATTTTCCGCTTGTGGACGGTTTTTTCTTCGTTGGCGCACCGCGGAGGACGATGGTTGGGGTGCAGGTGACAACGAGGGCTGAGCATGACACCAGAGCCAGCACGGTGAGGCGGTTCAACAATCTTCTACGGAATTATTTTAATGACTGGGAAACTTTTGCGGAAGGCTTGTCGTGGGAGATTATTTACGTGCAGCATGAGGGCAGTACGGTAATAAACGCGTGGCAGAAATGCGTTGTCGTCGCGCACGCAAATGTAACGGGCAGCAATGAGCCTGAGGATCCTCAGGCCATTGCGGCATTTTGGAATCAGCAGGTGCGTCAGTACCAGGTAACGCTATCATATGAAAATTTTATACATGAACGACAAACGCAACGTGGGCGACACCCAGAGGGACAAGGAAAAGGAGGAGGGGAATAAAAAGCTTGAGTTTACTGGTGAAGTATTTTAGGGAGTATTATATATTCCCGAGTGTGTTTGTGTGTGGGTAGGAGGCGTACTTAGGGACTCGCTCTGCCGTGCGCCAAATGATTATTATGGCCAGCGCTACCACAGCAGCACT